CACCCACGCCCCGTGATTTTTTCTGTATATGTTTATTAATTTTTTCTATTAATTTCTATTAGTTCTTTCAATTAATTCCATTCTATTTTTAGTAGACATGGGTCTTGCTTTTGCTCAGGGCTGGTTTCAAACTCCTGACCTTGAGCAATCTCCCGCCTCGGCCTCCTAGAGTGCTGGGATGACAGGCGTGAGCCACCCGCCGCCTAATGACATTTCTGTCAAGGGCTGGGTTACCCCTTGACTGGGAGTTTGATGCCAAACTAGCCCTTAGGGGCCAGAGGTGGTGGCTCACGCCTGTCATCCTAGCACTCTGGGAGCGCGAGGCGGGAGGATCACTTGAGGTCAGGAGTTCGAAACCAGCCTAAGAGCGAGACCCATCTCTACTAAAAATAGAGAGAAATTAATTGGCCAACTAAAATAAGATAGAACAAATGAGCGGGCATGGTGGCGCAGAAAGTCCTGTTCTACGATCTGCTACCCCACAGCCTGATTCGGAAAAGCCTACTGTCAACAATAAAAAAGAACAAACGTACTGGGAGCAGTGACTCTGGCCTGTCATCCCAGCTCTCTGGGAGGCCGAGGCCGGAGGATCGCTCCAGGTCAGGAGTTCGAGACCAGCCTGAGCAAGAGCAAGACCCGGTCTCTACTAAAAGTAGAAAGAATTTAATTGGCCAATTAAAAATAAATAGAAAAAAAAATTAGCCGGGCATGGTGGCGCATGCCTGTAGTCCCGGCTACTTAGGAGGCTGAGGCGGAAGGATCGCTCGAGCTCAGGAGTTCGAGACCAGCCTGAGCAAGAGCGAGACCCTGTCTCTACTTAAAAAAAAATAGAAAGAATTAATTGGCCAACTAAAAATATATAGAAAAAATGAGCCGGGCATGGTGGCGCGTGCCTGTAGTCTCAGCTACTCGGGAGGAGGCTGAGGCAGGAGGATCGCTTGAGGCCAGGAGTTGGAGGTTGCTGTGAGTGAGGCTGACGCCACAGCACTCTAGCCCGGGTGACAAAGTGAGACTCTGTCTCAAAAAAAAAAAAAAGATAGGTCAGGACTGATGATAGGAGAGGTAAAAGAAGAAAAATAAAGAGAAAAGCTTGCTCAGGCTGGTCTCAAACTCCTGACCTCGAGCGATCCTCCCGCCTCGGCCTCCCAGAGTGCTAGGATGACAGGCCTGAGCCACTTCGCCCGGCTTCACTATTTTAATTACATGCTCTTTTTTTCCCCCTTGGTAAAGAATTGGGAAGGTTTGGGGGGGTCAAGAAAAATATATGTAACCTTAACAGTTGTACCCCCATAATACACTGGAAAAAAAAAAGATTTGGCAGGCTTGCACAATAATTTCTAAAGTCTCTGGAAGCTTCCGCCATAGCTACAGCTTCTCATATGCACCATGGTTTCCTTTCCTGGTTGGAGTGCAGTGGGGGAGGGGGTGGCTAAAAGGAATCTGGAATCTTCTTTGACATTGGGGAGCAGGTTCAACACCTCTGGGAGGGCCAAGGCCCCAACACAGAGCTGAGTCCGGCAGTGTCAATGGCGTGGAACTGAGGCTGGGAAGAAAGAAGCTGAGATGCCAGCTTCCTCCTCAGCCAATGCACAAGGACCAAGGGACACTCTGGTGCCACTGAGCAGTCTCCACCGTCCTCCTCCCACCGGCCAGCCCAGCCCCTGCCTGTCACGGTTGAAAGTCCTGTTCTACGATCTGCTACCCCACAGCCTGATTCGGAAAAGCCTACTGTCAACAATAAAAAAGAACAAACGTACTGGGAGCAGTGGCTCAGGCCTGTCATCCCAGCTCTCTGGGAGGCCGAGGCGGGAGGATCGCTCCAGGTCAGGAGTTCGAGACCAGCCTGAGCAAGAGTGAGACCCCGTCTCTACTAAAAGTAGAAAGAATTTAATTGGCCAATTAAAAATAAATAGAAATTCCTCAGAATTTTGCATGTAAAAAATAAATAAATAAATAAATAAATAGAAAAAAAAATTAGCCGGGCATGGTGGCGCATGCCTGTAGTCCCGGCTACTTAGGAGGCTGAGGCGGAAGGATCGCTCGAGCTCAGGGGGAGAGAATCCCGCTATTTTTCTATATATACAGTTGGCCAATTAATTCTTCTCTATTTATAGTAAGACGGGGTCTCCTCTTGCTCAGGCTGGTTTTGAACTCCTGACCTTGAGCCATCCCTGCCTCGTGCCTCCAGAGTGCTAGTTGCAGGCGTGAGCCACGGCGCCGGGGCTCGAATTGTCATTGTAAAGGGCGTGTAATTTTATTGTATGTAAATATATCTCAATTGGTAAAGAGCCATGAGTGGCCGGACACAGTGGCTCACGCCTGTCATCCCAGGGATTTGGGAGGTCAAGGAGGGAGGGTCACCTGAAGGCAGAGGTTGACCAGCCTGGGACATAGTAAGACCCTGTTTGGGCGCGGCCGTGGCTCACACTGTCACCTAGCCTCTGGAGGCCAGGTGGCAGTTGCTCGACGGATGCAAGATTTGTTGTCGAGACCATGCCTGAGCCATAGAGCGAAGACACGCGTCGCTACTTAAATAAGACAAGAAATTAATTGGCAACTAAGTATTATACGGAAAATGACCGGGGCATGGTGTGCATCCTGTAGTCCCAGCTACGTTGGGTGGAGGCTGAGCAGGAGGATCGCTTGGCACCAGGACTTGGAGGTTGCTGTGAGCGAGGGTGACACCACGGCACTCGCTCTACTTGCAAAGTGAGACTCGTCTCAAATAAAAAAATAGAAATAAATAAAAAGACCAGTCTCACAAAAATTAAATTAGCTAGGTCTGGGCGATCCCTGTAGTCCCAGCTACTGGAGGAGGCTGAGCAGGACTCGCTTGAGCCCCAGAGTGAGTTGCATGTGAGCAGGCTGACTCACGGCACTCGCTGTTAGGCGGACAACAGAGTGATGACTCTGTCTCAAAAAAAAAAAAAAAAGAGTCAAATGACTGATAACGTCTTTAAACTTCTCCGCTGGAATGGAAACGAAGAGTCTGTGGTCCTCCGAATGTGGGGAGGCCGTCGATGACAGCAGGGTGCAGAGAGCACGCCACGTAATCCCCCGACCACCAGTCCGCTCTGGGCAGGCAAAGGAAACGGAAGAGCCATCTGATTTTTTGCCACTCCTTCGGAGAGGGAGAAGATTACAACATTTGCAAAGAGCAGTATCCGTGGAACCGTCCGTGATCCGCGCCTTGCCCCTCAAGCTCAGGTCGGCAACTGAGTCGCCTTACGTCTGAATGGATAAACAAGTCCCCAGGAGGGCACCTTGGAGTAAGGCTGGCTTCTGGCAGGGGCCGTGCAAGAGTTTGACATTCCTGCCCTGATAAACTGACACAGAGTGTGTATTTATTAGGTGACCTAAAAGCACATTAACTTCCTGCCGCTTCTGCCATGCTACGACAGAAGACCCCATTGTTTTTTTTTAATATTATTATTTATTTTTTATTTTATTTAATTTTTATTGTATATTTATTTATTATTATTATGTTTAATATTTTTATTTTCTCTTTCTTTTTCTTCTTTTACCTCTCCTATCATCAGTCCTGACCTATCTTTTTTTTTTTTGAGACAGAGTCTTGCCTTTGCACCCAGGGCTAGAGTGAGTGCCGTGCGTCAGCCTCGCTCACAGCAACCTCCAACTCCTGGCCTCAAGCGATCCTCCTGCCTCAGCCTCCTCCTAGTAGCTGGACTACAGGCATGACCACCATGCCCGCTATATTTTCTATATATTTTTAGTTGCAATTAATTTCTTTCTATTTTTTTAGTAGAGACAGGGTCTCGCTCTTGCTCAGGCTGGTCTCGAACTCCTGAGCT